GTGGCACAATTTGCTCCACAACAAAGTGCATATCAGAGCACATGTGCTGAGGCAAAAAGCCTCAGTTCAAGTTTGCACCACTTCTATTTGAGCTGCTGCAAGTGCACATGTTTGCATGTGTGGATGTGCCCAGTAAGTGCAATGTAAGTTTCGGTTGTAACATTTTTGGCAGTGGCTAAGTATTTGGTAAAGTGCCTAACCTGATTCTAGATTCGGTAAAACATAATTTTACATACACATGCCACTGCCTGTAGGAGTTCCATAAGTAAATTAGAAGGTAGAATTTACTTCCTTTTAATGTGTACTCTTCAGAATTAGGAAACAGTGGGCCCATCTACACAAGATGCTTAATGTCCAGTAGCTGGCTGGGCAAAAAACTGTGCTAATATGCTACTGCACAGTAGTATTAGGCTACTGTGCAGTAAGAGTCACAAAAAACCCATATGCCAGCACTACTGTGCAGTAATTGTAGTTACCACGCATTTAGTTACTACTTCATTAAGGAAGTACTAAACTAAATACGCAGTAACTACTGTACATTAATGAATGTGCAGACACACGCAGTATATGGTACATTTGTAAAGTACTGATATGTGTTAGCCAGTCACCAAAGCTTTCCTAATACTGACAGAGACCCTGCATGTGAAAGCTGTAAAATATTGGTCTGCTTTCAAATAGCTCATGGGAAAGTGTGTGAACATTTAATAGTGGCTTGGCTGGAATTTCAGATGTGTTTGGAGAAGTGCAGTTCACTAGAGTCTTGATGTCCTTATCACAATGTATTAAAAAAACAGAACCCACATTTTCCTTTTTATAGAAGAAGGAAGGCAAAGCTATTGTGAAAATATACTTTATCCTCTTGGTGGATTGAAAGATACAGTATTTTTTAATCAAAGCAGTCTAACCAAAATATTACTAAGATCTTGTCTTTAATGATTAATAAAATGTACATGCTAGAAACTAGTTGGTTTAGTACTGATATGTTGAAGCAAAGGAGATGGAGGTTACACTATTAAGCCCAGAAGAGAGATTGAATGAACAGGCATTGCTTCAGAGATCTGTGGAATATCTGATTGACACCCATGTTTATTATTTGAGATTTGCTTGTGTGATATACTCTAATAATTGCAATTGTCTACCTGTACTTTGAATTCTACAGGTTTGTGGTCTCTTCGTCTACAAATTCCCTTTTGAAAATGTCTTTACATTTGTCCAGCTTTCCATGACCATTTGATTGTGTCTTCTCTCTCCCTCTCTTTTGTGTTTAAGAGAAAACTGTACTGATTTCATAGAACAGAAATATAAATGATATACAATGTATACTTTATCTCTTAAAACTGATTTTGCTAAATAATTACAGTTGTCTTTTGTAGACAAGTTGGTTGCCTCTGTTCCTACTATTGTAGGCAGTTCTTTGATGTTTATCTGCTTTCCTTCAGCTTTAAAGTCGTCCTCCTTCCTGCTGGATTAGCCATAGAGTTAATGGGGCTTTGTCTCCAGATCTCCAACAGGGCTGCCCTTTCTCCATTTCTGACTTCCCAGTTACAAAATAATTTCACTCATTTTAACTTTGTAAAATCTTTTCCTTTTCTTTGTGGCAGCAGCAGCAAGAAAATACATACAGATTCCAGTGTTTTGGAGCTATTGGGTTTGCAAAAAAGCTTTAAAGTCAAACTAAAGTAATATTTGCCAAAACTCAGCCTGAAAAGTAAATTTGAAATAGACTGAGAATAGCCTACCACTGAAATGCTAAAGAAAGGACTGCTCTTCAGCTCCTGGAAATTACTACAGAAACAGCTGAGATCCCAAATCTTGGAGGGAGGGACATTAGCTATTTGATAGTAGCAGAATGTTCCCAAGAGCAAGTGGTATACAATTGCCACATGTATCACATTGCTAACTCTAGAATCAGCTTTTTAAGAAAATGTCTGTATATTCTAATTTATGACGATATAAAATATACAATATTTTTAATAAGATTAATGGCAGCAGGCCAAAAGATAGAAGATTGTAGGAGAAACAAAATCAGTAATTAAAAAATGTATTTTTAGAAATCTGTTGAGTATTCATTTAATCTCTAGTCTTCTAAAATACAGATATTGTTCTGGTGCCTGCCAAACTTCGCAATTCTATAGTTAACTATGAATCTGGTTTTTGGAAAATCATATTTGCTGACCACCACATTATGGTGAAAAAGGGAAAACAAGTTATTTGATCCTTATCAGAGGAGCAACAATATAACCAGTTAGAAAATTTTAACTATTAAAACTCCATACAAAAATGTTTTTTGAATAGTCTGGAAAAAGTAGTTGTCCAGATCTTTTTTTTAAAAAGAAAAGTGTGAGAGCAACTAATGACAATGTTACTAGGAAATGGAAAAATACTAAAATATAACCAGAACAAATGCATCGGATAGTCTTGTGAAGGAAAGTCGAAAAACTAATTACTTTATTTGAGCACTGTCCAAAAATAGAAGAATATATGGTCCTTGACTCAATCTAAATTGAACACAGATTGTATGGTACCCAGCACCAGTTAACAAAACACTTGAGTACATGAGTAATCTGATTAACCATGTACTTGAAGATAGGGATATGTTTAAGTGCTTGTAAAATACATGATCCTTAAGGGACAGTTGGATAGCCTACCTTCACATGCTCTTGTGCAACCCAAAACTGAATTCAAGTCAATGGGAGCTGCGGGGGTGTGTGAAGAGAAATAAGGCCCCAAAAGAAGACTTCAAAAGGCTCCATTTACCCATGCCTCATCTATTCAGAGCCATGTCACATTATGGTTGGATAACTTTTTGGTGGGGAAACTGAGAAAGACTTGTTTAACTACTTGGGCACAAAGACTTGTCAGGAGGTGGCCTTTCTACATTATGTAATCTTGTGGATTATTTTAAGAGATTTAAATTGATAGTTGTTTTTGGTAATAACCTGAAATGTGTCTGAGAAAGACACATGCTTCCAATGGTCAGCTGAAAATCCTGGGGTTTGTGTGCACACACCCCTTTTCCAATATATTTTAACACCCTCACCCCCCAGCACACATGCAAAGAACAGATCTTAATTCAACAGGGCACATTGGGCTGCAGAGAAAGGCAGGTGCAAGGTGTCGATTGCAGGCAAGGCTGGGCAGGAGCCCAGAAGTGATAAGCATGCAGGACACTTGTTAATTGTTGTTTAGGGAAGGGGGCGCAATCTTTCTGTCAAGTGTGCCTTAAATCATGGGCAACTGGTGCCCCCTTATTTGGGGGGGCACATGCCCCCCCAGTGACCAGGGAGGGGGTTCCCCCAAGGCAAAATTTACCAATTGGTGAGTGGCTGCAGTGCTTCTGGAAGTGTCCTACATCCAGTGTGCCCACTCCCTGGCTGACACTCGCGGGGGGGCACTGGCGCTCCTGCCTGCCCCCCTACCCATTGCTTAAGTGGGGAGCGCAGCCCATCAGGGGGTGCACCCCCTATGCATCATCACAGCCCTAAATTAACCCTGCCCATGTGCTATACAATCCCCTTCTCCTGTCTGATCTGCTGCTCTTCTTTCTGCTCCCTGCCTGAGCTGCTGTTCTGCCTTTTTTCTCTCCTTGCTCTATGCCCCCCAGTCTGATCTGTTGCTCTTCTATCTTCTCCCTGCCCTCTGCTTGATCTGCTGCTCTACTTTCTGCTCTGTGCCTGATCTGCTGCAGTCTTCTTCCCCTGCCTTGTGCTCCCTGCTCCATCAGCTGCTCTGCTTTCTGCTTCCTGCCTGAACTGCTGCAGTCTTCTCCCTGTCTCCTGCTCCCTGCCAGTTCTGCTGCTCCCTGTGCTTTATTCTTCCTGCCCTGTGCCCCCTGCCTCATCTGCTGCTCTGCTTTCTTCTCCTTGCCCCATCAGCTGCTCAGCTTTCTGCTCCTGCTTGACCTTCTTCCTGCCCCCTTGCTCTGCTTCCTGAGGATCTGCTGCTTTACTATGTACCATGCCCCACAGAGCCTGCCCGTGTGGGGGCGTGTCCTGCTTTGGTTTTGGAATCAGAACTCGGGGCAGAGGTGTTATCTTTGATTAGACCAACCAAATCTTTGCCAAAAAAAAAAATCTTTATTTGCAAGCTTTTGGTTTTTGACACATTTTTTGTGGTTTGGTTTGACACACAAATCACGTCAGGAGCCGAGGCGGAGCAGGGGGCGCCAGCACATTCCCCTCGGAGGCCAGTGAGGGCCGCCCCCCTACTCCACGGTCGGGACACGGCGGGGAGGGGCGGGGGGAAGAAAACCGCTTCCCCAGCCTTGTCCCGGGCCAACGTCCCGCAGGGGCGGGGGGGCGGGGCTAGGCGGACCCAGCTTGCAGGGGGGGCGGCCCCCCCCTTCCGCGGGGCTGAGGTGAGCTCGTCCTCCTCGGCGGACGCGGGGTGTGGGAGGGGCGCCCGCTCAGCAGCACCCTCCCCAACCGCCCCAGGCTCGCTGCCACTGCAGCTGCGGCTGCAACCCCCCCTCCTCCTCCCCCGAACTGCAGACAAGACTCGGCCCCGCCTCCTCCACACGGCGGGGGCGGGGCTTCTCCCGCTGCTGTCCAATGGGCGCCCGCGGAGCCGCGGGGGGGGCCCCGGCGCCCCCTAGGGGCGGGTCTATTTAAAGGTCCGCAGCTGCTCGGCGTCCTTCAAGTCGGTGGCGGGTCGGGGCGGCGTGGGGTGATATTGCTGGCGCCGAGCCGGGGCGCGTAGGGAGCCGCCACGGCCGTTGCTTCCCCGGGGGTCCCGTGCCGCCGTGCGGAGCCCGCGGGGATG